CCTTTACCAATCCAGCCACGGGCCCATCCATCTGGCCCATCAAGACTCACTCTCATTTCATCAGTCCATAAAACCTTAGAAAAATCAGTCTTGAGATATTTCTTGGCCCAGTCTTGACGTTTCAGCTTGTGTGTCTTGTTCAGTGGTGGTCGTCTTTCAGCCTTTCTTACCTTGGCCATGTCTCTGAGTATTGCACACCTTGTGCTTTTGGGCACTCCAGTGATGTTGCAGCTCTGAAATATGGCCGAACTGGTGGCAAGTGGCATCTTGGCAGCTGCACGCTTGACTTTTCTCAGTTCATGGGCAGTTATTTTGTGCCTTGGTTTTTCCACACGCTTCTTGCGACCCTGTTGACTATTTTGAATGAAACGCTTGATTGTTCGATGATCACGCTTCAGAAGCTTTGCAATTTTGAGACTGCTGCATCCCTCTGCAAGATGTCTCACTATTTTTGACTTTTCTGTGCCTGTCAAGTCCTTCTTTTGACTCATTTTGCCAAAGGAATGGACGTTGCCTAATAATTATGCACACCTGATATAAGGTGTTGATGTCATTAGACCACACCCCTTCTCATTACAGAGATGCACATCACCTAATATGCTTAATTGGTAGTAGGCTTTCGAGCCTATACAGCTTGGAGTAAGACAACATGCATGAAGAGGATGATGTGGACAAAATACTCATTTGCCTAATAATTCTGCACTCCCTGTACTTACTGAGCACATTCAAAGTCTGTTAGTGTTTCTCAGTCATAACTATAATATGAACAGCACTGTGTGAAGTACAAGTCTGTTTGTTGCACCTTTCTGAGCAAAGTCACCATGGTGCACATTGACAGGCTAATAATTAGCAATAGCAAGAGGCTGTAAAGTTTACGTTTAGACATGTTATTTAAGGGACTGTGTGAAAATTTATCAGGAGTTAGCTTTTAATGTGAAGGACGCAGTGGACTCATATTATTTGTATGTTCTATAACCTGATAGATATTTTAATGGGCTTGGAGATCTGCTGAAGAAATATCATATTTTCTGTCTTATGGATAATTTATTTTAAAGTTAATAAATAAATATAGATAGATAATTTTTGTAATTTGGGGTCAAACTTGGAAGTACTGAGTTGGGTTCAGGAATAATTTTCTCTACTTTTTTATTGATTAGTGGACAGATATCAATTTCAAATATATAAAATAAAATATTCTTTTTGATTAATTATGGAGCCTCTCAAATGAGCTCAACTTCAAACTTTAGACATCAGATGTGATTATGACACAACTTGCATTTAATTTTATTTATATAAGTGTTCTTGTTCTGTTTCACACACCATATATCTAATGACCACGTCCACAGTCTGAAACCTGGACAGAATTTCCTGATGCTGTGTTCCACTGAAAAGCTTGAATGCCAAAAAACAAAGGAGGCAGCCACTTGAACGTGGGGCTCAAGTTTACTACAGACTGGTGAAAAACATCAGCGGGCTGGTGAAGAAAAGAACAGATAATCATATGGATACTAGGTGAGTGGGGGAAAAAAGGTCAGAACAGATTTACCAGGAGGGGATTTCATTATCCTGTGACATATAAAGAGCAGACTGAATGCCCAATGATGAGAGAAGGGCCACAGTTTTATTACACTGCAGATGACTGCTGCATTTCTCAACTGTATTACTCTGTTTTAGTCTCTTACATAGCCATGTTTTCCTTCTTTTAAAGAACTATAACTTGCAAATAAGGTGGTAACAATGTTCTGGTTTCTCTAAATAATCATACATACATAGATAGATAATATGAACCGACAGTTCTTCTTGAAACTGGCTGTCTCTACTGTCTGTGCTTATCTTTCTGAATTAATATAGTAAATCAATGAGGTTTAGAGCCCACCACACAACCTCTGCCTTTGCACCTTTCATATCCTTCATCTGTCATGTTATTGACCACACTCATATTGTCCCTCCTTGTAACATATAACACTATAACAGTGTCAACATTTCATATCACACAAATTAGCACTTTATCTGTCTGTACAGCAGACTGAGACTTTGCGAAGGCCTCCTGGTGAGAAGCATGAAATCACACCACCACCACCTAATGAGCGGGGGGAGCAGGAAGGAGGTCCAAATATTGACAGCTAATACTTGATTGAAGGGTCGGGGTGTCCCCCGGCTCGTAGATGTGTGCTCACACACACCTTCATGCGCTACAGCCGTCTCTGACGTGCACAGAGAGAGGTGGATGCCTCACACACAGTCCTCAGGCCCGGCACCCTGCTGAGACAAATACACAGCTTGACTGTAGGAGATCATTTCTAACTGACTTCATTTCTGGCCCAGACACACCCAGTTGGGTGCCAACACGTACACATACACAAACACTGATTTGTCTTCATCCCTATAACACAAACACACCTGACTGAGCAACGGTTGGGGGGTTTCAGGTGGAAGTCCGCAGGGAAGGTTTCGCAGTATGGTCGACCTAAAAATATAAAGTACTGGGAGGTACTTTGTGGATAAGCTGTAATCCTCTGAACTGGGAAAGAAAGATAAGAAACAACCTCTTAATATGTACGCCTTCATGCTTGTGATAATATGGCATAAAAAGTAGCGGAGGGCTCTTCCGATATAAGATTTATATTATTACAGTAAAAGGAAAACTGAGTGTATTCACTTCAGATTCAGCTGGAAATACAGAGCGTCGATATCCGTGAATCCAGCGCTGTTCGCTTTCACGTTACAATCAGCAACAGGTGATCAGAGTTCTCCACCTGCTGGACAAAAATAACACCTGCAGCTTCTTCTTGATCTCCTCGGTAAGTAATCGGGTACTTTTACCCAAGCACTGCATTTATAGGCGCTCCTAACATTAACTATCAAATCACTTCACTGCACGCAAAATGACCTGTTGTTACTTCGTGGATCTGACATCTTCATGTATGTCCTCGTCTCACAATTGTGGCAGCAGCTTTTGTAAAACCCACAAAAACAGCCTTAACATAATGGCTTCTTCATCCAGGTTAGGTTTGGCATCAATATATACTAACAGTGACAATCAGGTAATTGGCGCCTGGGCACAGACATGTGGCCTCATCAGGAAAACCCATCAGTCAAATATATTTAGGGACGTTTTCAACTGAAAAGTGATTGACTGAATTATTTTTGTGCTTTTATGATTTTGTTTTGTCTCTTTGTTGTTTTTTTCATATCTGTTTTTTTTGCCTGTAGCAATCACATTTTCTCTTCCTTATATTTAGTTTTCAAAATCTTTTATGGTTATGCTCGCCCTTCAGTCTGTAGTATGGTGTCAGTTTAGTACACACTGTTTACAGGGGCTGTGGGTTTATAACACAACAGATACATAATAATACACCATCACTACAACAACTGAATAAAGTATTATATGTGTTGGAAATTTTGTTGTTCATATGATTTGGCTGATTTGATGTGTTTTAACCACAAGATGGCACTAAATGTTGTGGCTATTAAAGCAGTGGTGGAAAATCTATTTGTAGTCTTTACAATAAGTAAAAACTCCATTACATCTGTTTGCACTCGTTTCTTTTGTGTAACATGGAACCAAAAAATTTAACACTTTCTGAAAAATTCCTAATGTTTGACTTTCTCCTATTTTGGCTCCTCCACAGTTACAACATGCTTGTTAGTGTACAGTACCAAAGAAAAGGCTGCAGAGGTGCAGCTGCTGACTGAGATGATAACATTGCATGTGTGTGGCAGGGATACATACGATTCATCAGTTAATGTTATGGTGATTTTTCTAAAGAGGTATTCTTTTTCTTTCTTGTCTCGTGTTTGCTGCATGTGTTCTGTATAATTACTGTGGATTACTGAATAATTTATGTGGATTTTACTTCACTTATAAATCAGCACGTGCTCCCTTAATTCTTTTAAATAAATGCTATGGATCAACTACTTAAAAGAGATCAGACAAAGCATTACTGGTATGAGAAAAAAAGGAGGAGGAGCAGGTAAACCAGTTTTTCAACAGGGTTGTTAAAAGACTGAACCAGCCTTGTGGTTTCTAGTGTCCCTCCTTAGAATACCTTTCTCCAGCACTACAAGGCCATGAATGGCCGTCTCCTCCCACCAACACTCCCCCAGTCCCTCAACAACAACACTGAAATACTTCCCAGAAGCAGGAGGGCACCTCCACTCATTTCTCCTATGTTCCTTTTATAGACTGCTCCTCTATATGCCATATACTCATCAAATCCAGCTTTCCTATACAGTTCCATGTTTTTGACCTCTCTCTGAGGCTGAAAAAGATCCATGCTTAAGAAGTCCCCACAACTCTCAGTAACTTCAGTGGCTTTTATGTATAATGCTATGAAGTCCTTCAAAAGTCAATTCTACAGCACTTCAAGCTTTTGGTATGTAAATATTTGGACCTGCTGAGGTGTGTGGACTAGAATGGCATCATTGTGAAGGATGCTTCACAGAGCAGAAGTGTTCAAGAAGTATGGTCATTAACACCAGATAAAGAGGACCTATTCTGCTCATTTCCTGCTCTATACTCCATTGGAGTAGCGTACACTTGCATTCTTTTTCTTTTATACTGGCCTCAAGGGCCCAATATAAAAGAAAGGTCGTCGACTGTCTGAATGGGGCTGTTTTAGCCCCCTAATCCAGCTTTCTTCCGATGGGCTGCCCCCTGTTAAAAATCTTATTATTATTATTATTATTATTATGTTAATTTTTTTGTAAAGCGAAAATGGTCAGATTTCTGAAACTGAAGATAAACTGTTGATATACAAATTAAATTTGTGGCCATTTTAACAATGTTTTCTTTCCATAAACATTTAAACATTTAATTTAATTTTATTTTTTGATAAAATAAGCGTATTTTTTTTAATTAAATCATACGTATAGGTCATAGGTTGGTTCAATTTTAAATATCGTCCGTGTGGAGACAGTGGCCGTTAGGGGGAAGAAAAAATAAATTAAAAAGAGGAGGCAGAGGAGAGGAGAGGGGTGGTGCGTGACGTCATGGGTCATGTGACTGGTTTGTTTTGCTTGCTCCAGCTCGCGCTGACAAAAACAGAGGCAGAGGAAGGAAGCGACGACATCAAACCAGCTAGGAGCTCATCTCTATGCGTTGGTGTGTCGCCAAGAAGCTGCCAGCACCGCGGACACGGATAGTTTAATACGTTGTTTTTAGCTTTTATATCGCTGCTTCGAAACAGACACTACCTCCGCCTTCACCTACTGCCAGCTGACCGACTTTGGTGCAACATGCCTTCAGAAAAAACCTTCAAACAAAGAAGGACATTCGGTAGGTCTTACAGTTTCCTAATTTTAACATGTCTCGCTCTGCTTTTCCGCCTTGGGTCGTGGGTTTTCGGTTGTGCCCCGAATTGTCCTCTGAACTGCCCAAAAGTGAATCACAGCGTTGGCGTGCACAGGCCAGGTGGGGGTTAGTTGTTATCCCCGTGCCGAGTATCAGCCTACATTTTGTCAGACTGCTTCTACTTTCTGCTGCTGCTGATTAACAGAATCAGCCTCCTCGTTGGGCATGTGCTCCTTTTAACTTATAGATGAAAGACAGTTGCTTCCACTCGTGGACTTTGAGCTTTAGATGTAGACGAATATGATGAGGCTGTGAGCTGCTGGCTCGTGTCTCTGTAATGTTTACTTGTGCGAGAGCAGTGCGAGGAAAACAAAGTGGTGTCGAAACGCAGGGCAGAGAGAGGAGAGCTGCAGGATTGGGGGATGGGACAGTTTGTGGAGGAAAAGAAAAGAGTTTAAAAGGGGAGAAAATGTAAAACTGCAACTGAACACGTGGAGTTTACGTGTCCTTCTTTATTTTCTTTCTTCCTGTTTTTCTTTTTTGGTTTTGGTGCACAGGCCATATAGCCTCGATGCAGAGGATACTTTCACTTGTGTTTCCCAGCCAACAGAGCTAAATGTAAGGCCTGCAAACTCACTGCCGAGTTTCCATAACGCAACGATTATTTAACATTCTTATCCTGTTTATTGGGTTTGCTGCTTGTAACAAAACGATGAAAATCATAAACTAAGTTCAACAGACTTGATGGCCAGAACTTAAAAATATGGAACTTTTTTTAGTGTTGTCGTTCTAGTTTTTGTTTGGTGTAGTTAGTTTTGCTGCTAGAATTTTGAACATCTTTTCAAATCATACGAATTATTCAAATTTGATTTAAAAATAGCATTTTTATCTCAATGAAAAGATGAAATTTGGATGAATGTATTTAATATTTAAATAAAATAATAATGATACCAAAGAGTGACGTTATAAAAGTAGATAACTTTTTAACTTATGTCCGTATCATAATTACTACCTAATAAACAAAGATGTGTACTCGCTGCCTTCAACGTTAGAAGTATGTTTCCCAGCATGACTAAACATGCATGTGCTTCATGTTATTGGTCTAAATATACACAAACAAAGCGTGTGCGTTCCAGCCTGCTCTGACAAACGTGTTATGTGTACATATGATGATGTTAAAGTTGGCATGAAGCTGTGACAGTCCAACAAGTCTGGTCCAAAAACTACTGGTTAACGTGGTCATGTGAAAATTTTTGTAATATTGCCATTTCAGAAACAGTTTTGTGTGTATACATGAATGTTTACTCAGTGATAAGGGTCACTAGCTGGTAGTCATGTTGCCTTTTATCTAATCTTTGTGTTACTGTCCTCTGTGGACAGAATAATCTAGCCCCATGTGTTTAGTTTTGTTTTTTAACATAAATGATCCGTTACGTAGTTATTAGGCTTGTCATAGAATGACTCAGGAACTTAAAGGGAGTTTCCCAGTGTCCCCTTGAGGTAACTGACGAATTCCCAATATTACATAACAAAGATGTATTTAAAAAGCACATCCTTTTAACCTCAAAGTCATTTGCTTCCCATTTAGTTGGTTTTTCTCTCTCCCTTCTTGGTCTGGTCATGAGAGACTGACGCATGCAGAACTTCCTTGTTTCTGATTGAAACGCAGTTATGGAAAAATGTAATAATAGAATTTTTTTTTCAGTTTTAGCATGAAAATAAACATTTGTGTTTTGGCCGCAGCATGTTAATCAGTTAATTTAGTTAGACAGTCTTACAGTGGCCGCACAGTTTTCTGAACAACAACTTCTTTCAGCGGTGGGTCACAGGGACACCAGAGACTCAAAGCTTCAGTTTTTTTTTTAATTGTCTCTACTCGACTCCATTCAGGTAATTCAAGGTCCAAAATCTGATGTTTAGTTCAAGTAGGTAGTGCTGCTGCAAGTAGAAGGTGATATTTTTGGTCATATGTGCTGGTTGTAGACTGTGTGTACAAAAATTATGTTGCCACCTGTTGGTTTTGGACTAATTTTTATCCCTGTTTTCTGGAGTCAAAAGCATTAGATGACCAGCTGACGCCAACAAGCTTGGTTAGCAGCTGTATCTATAAGCTGTACAGGTGCAGTGCAATGACATGCATATCTGCTAACCATTGCTAATAAACAGACCAATTAATAGTAGAATTTCAATCCAGTCTTTGGGTTATCACTGTGAAGAAAAAACCCAATTATTAGTTCTGCTTTCAGCCAAGATTTCCAAGGATCTAGAATGCACATGTCCGATAAACGCACACAAGATTTGCAATCCCAGTAATCAGTGCAGACTTTGAATAGATAATAAGTGGATCATAATTTTTTGCCTAATGATCTGCTAATCACTGCAGAACAATGCTGTTGCACCATGAGTGGATTTTAGAAAAGCCCATCTTGTTTTCACTCGAGCGCTTTACCCCAGTAAGCAGTTTGTTCCCGTGTGATTCTGTGCTCCATGTCTCTAATCCTACTTTTTCTTTTTAATTGAATTGGACCTATTATGGTTTTCGTTATGTTCTTACATGTATGCACTGTTAAAATAGTGGTTGCTCATACTGAACGTGACTAAACTTTCAACTTTGAGGCACGTGTGTACAAGTTTACCCTGTGCTCTGAAAACGCACTCTGTTTCAGACATTTTTTTTCTGCTCTTGGCTATGTATGATGTCAGTAAGAGCAGGTATCAGATAATATGCTCAGCAACAGCACCCACCTGCTGCCCTCTTTGTTTAGGACAGCCAGTAAGGATTCCTAAAACAGCTTGTACCAAATGAGAGAAGACATATTCTAAACTATAGATCTGTCTAGTACATAAAGCTTACCGGTGTTATAAATGTTTAACGGGACGCTTTTTTAATCTGTTTCAGAAATTAGTAGGCAGCCACTTACAGCTGTGACATTGTTTGGTCTGATGTGCATCACCTCGCAAACCTGTTGAACCACAGGTTGTAAAAACAGTCACAGTCACCTGATACGAGAACCAAAGATATTATTGTGCAGATAGGGATATGTAAAACAAACAGCATGCAAATAGGATAGGATTTGCTGCCAGCTTTTTTCTTCTTTTTGCCTTATTTGTCATTGACCGTGTTTGTCTTTTATCAGCTCATTCCGGTTGATGCCCACTGACCTTTTTTCTGCTCCACAGAACAGCGAGTAGAAGATGTCAGACTGATCCGGGAGCAGCACCCCAACAAGATACCTGTGAGTTCAAGTACATGTTTAAAATGTCTGAAGCTGACAGTGATGTTGGTGTGGTTGTGGACAAGTGTGATGTGCAAAGCAGCACACAGGAACTTTCCGCAGTAGAAAATGTTACCGCATATTTCCTGGTTGTAGCTCACAGCGACTGATTAAATGTCTTTTGTCTGAAAGAGCTTTCTGTTCCTCGATGGGATTTTCCAGTCGACTCTGTTGGAGATGCATTTATCATTTTAGCAGTTGTGATGTAGCAGCTGTGTTTTTTTCTGGAATGTTGTGTTAAAAGTGGGTGCAGCTGCATTACCATGTAAGTGGCCAGCACCTCTTAGCAACCACCAATAAACAAACGCACACCTCGTGTTTCACCTGCTCATTTTATCAGTGAGATAGAGTATCAGCACAGCTTTGCACCTGTCGTTTCATGTAAGGGCTCTTCTCGTCTGTGTGTTTGTGCACGCTTCCTGTGTGCTCCCCGGGGTTATAAACTGCCGTGTCACAGTAAGTATGAGACCAGAGGCAGATGTGCTGTGTCACTGTAATGTAACTCCACCCAGACAGCCACAGTGGAGCCTGAAGGAGGTGGAGAGGCAGACTGCTAATAGCTTTCACATTAGGGTCAGACTCAGTAGTGTCCTGCTTTCACAATACACAGGGGTCAGCACATGTCTAAATACTTCAGGTGATATAGTAGTCTCGCATCACTCTTTCGCCACATTTCTTTATGTTTTGCTGGGAAAAGGGAAATGTGTTCAGTGATTTTAGGGCTGCACGATTAATCATTAGAAAATCGCGATCTCGATTCATACTTATGTGCGATCTCATTTCCAAATGACAACGATTTAAAAAAAAAAAAAAGAAAAAAAAAAAGACAACGACAATTGTACCGCATTTTGATCCGGGACGTAATCTGCATGAAAACAAGCGCTCACTCTTCCTGCTCAACAAATGACAAGGGCGGAGCCTTATACCACGTGATACAGAAGCTGTGCCGTGTGATGCTAAAATTAGCAGGGAAAAAACAGCGGAGAGCACGTGACAGGAGAAAATCCGTCCCGGTCAACCACCCAAACATCAATAACGGAAACCTCATACCCTATACACGCCGAACTCCCGCAGGCACAAAGAAATTACGGAGGCTATTATCACCTGACCAAAGATATGGCTCCCATCAACACTGTGCAAAACCAGGGATTTAGGAAAATGATCAACACCCTAGACAAACGCTACACAGTGCCGTCCCGCAACTATTTTTCTATTGTTGCACTACCTGCTCTATACACGCAGCGTCGAGCAACGGTGGAGACGGAATTTCAAGCAGTACAACATTTTGCGGCAACCACAAAACGTGAGACATTTGTTGTTTTGATGTTCAGTTTCAACTGTTACGAAGTTGATGTGCAGTTAATAAGTGCAATAAATATTTATATTGGAAAAGAAAATCGTTAGAGAATCGTGATCTCAATTCTAAGCCAAAAAATCGTGATTCTCATTCTATGCAAAATCGTGCAGTCCTAAGTGATTTATTGAAATGTGCAAACATATGTGTAAATGGAAAACAGAGTGTAGAATTCTACTGAGTCCCATCTGTCTTTTCAGGCCAAGATATGACTTTTGGGATCCTCAAAAGAGTGTCCTTTCAGGTGCAGGTGTACAGCAGAGTGCTGTCCTGTTGAGGTGGCCTCCTACCTGCTCTGTGTCATGCATTTGTGGAGTGATTGTTGGGTTTGGTTGTTTTAGAACTGAAGGCGCTTTTTGGACTTTGCTCCTCCCTGCGCATGTTGAGGTTTCGCCCTGTTAAAAGGGAGTTTTTACTTTCCACTATCAATTGCTTGCTTATAGGAGCTTATCTGATTGCTGAGGTTTCCTCTGTGTTATTGTAGGATCTTTACCATGCAATATAAAGCGCCTTGAGGCAACTGCTGTTGTGATTTGGCGCTAAATAAATAAAGTTGAATTAAATTAAAAAATTGTAAAATGTCTTCATAAACATAAAGAACCCACTTATTATCTTTTCAAGCACTTGAAACTGCCACGACCTGGGTGATTGAGAGCCCACACAGACATGCTGCCTGCAGACAATTTTAAATTATAAGTTTCTTCTGTGCAAATATTTGAATTACCAGGTACTTTGTGCAAGCAGGAGCAGGTTCAACTGTGGGATGAATTCCTCTCTGGGAAAGCAACCGAATGAGCTCTGGCCAGTCAGCCAGCTGCACAGTAAACTTTTAAAGACTGAAGAAGTTGTGCACTAGTAAATCAATCATGGATGACATTGGCTAAAAATAATAATGAAATGCTCTTTAAAAAATTATCAAATATTCATGGTCTGTGTGGAAGCAGACAAATAGTATTTTGTTATCTGAAATAATATATGAACCAATTACTTTGAAACAAAACAGCAAACCAATTTCCAATGTCCAAAACTGATTGCAGCTTCATTTTCACTTGCATTGCTTGATAAACAGCCCCTAACACGACAATATTGAAAGTCTGGAGAAAGAAAAACAGTACATTTTCTCATCTGTGAGGCTTAAATATTAGAATGTCTTTATCTTGTACTTACTAATAAAATATAAAATTAGGATTTCTGAACTAAACAGCTGCTCTAACCTTTTAACTTAATTCAAACAGTAAAGTCAGTCTACACATCACTGGCCTGTGAAAGCAGCCTTGTCATTGTCTTGTGGCACTTTCAGCAGAAATGGTGAAGAGGTTTACTGAGGCCGCTGCTTTTCTGCCCAGATGAAATGCATTAGCATGCCAAGCGAAAGCTGAGGAAGCTCTGGGTCAGCAGGTCTCACTGGATTAGTGCTAGAACCCCTTAGTGCTGTGGTCTGGACTGTAAATCTGAAGTTTCCCTTTGTCAACAGGTGATCATCATGCTGGTATTATACTCACTTGTGGACATGCATACAGACAAGTAATTGTTCTCATTAGACTGTTTTCCAGTTTGCACTTGGTGCCCTTGTAGTGCAGCGTCTGCACACTCACAACTTATCGAAGGGCACGCAAGCATTCACACAATTTGTGTTCATGTGATGATAAAATGTAGGTCACTCAGACCCAGGCAGCCTCTCACACACTCATGGACTTCTGTGGGTTGCACTGGGTGGGTCGAGCATGTAGGACACTCACTCAGTTGCAAGAATTTTGTGTAGCTGACGCCTGTGCTATCACACAGTCCGCTAACGTTGTGTAACGTCAGGTCGCAGTTCATCAGATGTTTGCGTTGTCACAGGGGCCTCCGCGGGGTAGAGTCTACAAACCTTCAGTGCTGTGGTGCATGGCTTCATTAGTACCAATGTGATCATTACAAAATGCCATAACTTTTTGAAGGGTTTTCCTTCGCAAATACATTCGCTCTGATTGGTTAGCTGACCCAGGAGAAATATGGCAAAGTTGGTTATGTACTATAACCTTAACTATATAAGCTCTAGTATAGCCGTAACCTCGTAAGAGCTGTTGGTTTGTAACAAAAACCAGAAGTTCAACCAGGTTTCAATCAGAATCCAACAAAGGACACAAGAAGATTTGCACTGGACTATTTGTGGTTTTAAACCATGTACCATCAGACAGTGCAGTGTTGCCTCGGTACATTTAAGCAACACTGAACAATAACACACAATAACACCATAATATTGGTTTTTCATTTCCTGAAACGCGAGTGCATGAAACATCTTGTTCACTCCTGCAGCCGACAACAGAACATTGTTTGTGTTCTGCTCACAGTGAGACATGTTAGAATTAGCAGCTTTCCTAAAGTGGAAAGAGGGAGTAATGCCTGCTGCTAGGCAGGCTCTAAAAAAAGAAAGAAAGAACAGTGTCTACATTTTGAATAAGACACGTTAAACACAGAGAAGTGTCTTAAATATTTGCGTAACAAACGAGGAAAGTTGTGCTAAAAAAACACAACCCCACTGCTATATTAGTTCTCCACAGCTATCCAGTCATTCATCATCATTGTCACCCGAACTGGGCTGGATTTGCATTCTTGTTTTCCCTTGTAGTTGCGCTCCATCAGTTAAAACAGCTAATTAAGACAAAACATGTGATCGGAAACTAAGATTGTGAGTGCGGCCTGAGTGACAGTGATTGGTTGTTTTTTGTTAAGAGAAGCTTTGATTCGTTGAACTTATAGGCCGCTTCAGAGCGTTAAGTAGAGGCTGACAGCCTTTGTTTAATCAGCACATCACTGTGAGTTAAATTGGGTTTTGCCAGCCTTTAATACAGAGTCTGATTGTGATTCTTTCTGAAGTGGAGTCTAATCCTGTGGGTTTGAAACCCATCTTACATATCTTAGTAAAACAATGGCATTCCCTTTCAAGTCTAACGCAAATCTTGATCTAGTAGATGTGGATTTAGATTCACAGGGACCCGACTGTGAGGCAGAGAGCTGTGTTCTTTTATTTAACCTCTCCATCTGATATTGGCAGCTCAAGCTTCCTTATTACATCTCACTGGTCTCAGACACACAAAGGGCACAGGAAATGCACCATTCATGGAAGCTGACCAGCTAAAAGAAGAAAAAGAGGAGAAATGAATTGCTGATAAAGTTTTTGCCTCCTGCAGGTGATCATTGAGAGATATAAAGGAGAAAAGCAGCTCCCCGTACTGGACAAGACCAAGTTCCTGGTGCCAGACCATGTCAACATGAGTGAACTCATCAAGATCATCAGGTAGATGCTGACCTCTTCTCCCCTCCTCACCATCTCTCCTTTACATTCATCATTTTCTCCTCTTCAGTTTTGTTTGCTTTTCTTAAATGTCTCCAACTCCTCTTTTGTCTGTCTTTTTCTTCACTTTCACTTCTTTTAATTTCCTTTCATCTCCTCTTTCTTTGGCTTTCCCTTTTCCTTTTTTTTTTAAAAAACGTCTTCATCCCTTTTCCTGGCATCAAATTTCCTTTCTTCTTTCTTTCATCTGTTTTGCATATTTGTTACATACAAAACATATTTGCATATATATTCTTCTTACTTACTCATTCCATGTTCTGTATTTTTAATGACCTCAATATACCAAACCTTTGTTGCACTTTTCTGAGCTAGCAAACATATGGATGAATGGATGGATTGAGGGAGGAAGGGATAAATAGATGGATGCCATATTTTTTTCCATACATTTCCTTTTCTCTTTCTTTCAATCTCATATTTTATTCACTCTCCTTCCCCTTCTTTCATTTCCTTTCACAAGTTCTTTTCCACTTCTTGATTTTATTCCTCTCCTATCCATAGTTTATACTTAGGATATTTTTTCCCTCTCACTTTCTTCTAATGTCTCCCCTTTTTCTCACTCTTGTCATGTCTTTCATTCCCCACCAGGAGGCGCCTCCAGCTAAACTCCAACCAGGCTTTCTTCCTGCTGGTTAACGGTCACAGTATGGTGTCTGTGTCAGCCGCCATCTCTGAGGTGTATGAGCGAGAGCGCGACCAAGATGGCTTCCTCTATATGGTATACGCCTCCCAGGAAACCTTCGGCGCTGCCACGACTGCCCAGTGAACAACCTTCCTTCATCCCTCAGTTTCTTCTTCCACTGGACCCGGCGACTGGACAGTTGTAGTTTTTAGTTTCCCCGTCCCCCCTTTCATGTCTCTTGTCACATTCTTTTGAGTATTAACTGTAAGAACTAAAACACAGACACAAACTGCTAAATCTAAACACAGCATCTGATCGTCTGTCAGCTCATTTTGGTCCTGGTTATTTGTCTGTGTGCCGCCACTCTCAGTCTGTAGCATAAAGCCGCAAGGGGTGACCAGAAACAGCAGAGTTTAGGTAGAGAGATCCCCACCCCACCTAAAATGTAACCGACTCAGGCCAATAAGAGTCTTTCCTCTCTGGATAAATCCTGTCCTCTGGCATTTACATGTTGATGGCATTTTCAGTTTCCAGTGTTGTGGCTAAACGTCTCCTAGGCTGTATTTATGTTAATGTATATATAAATTTCAGGTAGTGATGTTACATAAAAAGGTGGTGAGGCTCACCACTTATCTGTGTCTATATATACATTAGACAATGAACAAAGCCAGCCTTCTGTTGCAGTTAGAAGATAAAGCTTGGGGATTTCTTTTGCCAGAGAGATTTGAAAATTAAGAAGAGAAGATCCTTAAGCATCACGTGTCGTCACATTCCCTTCACGGTCTTCCTTCTTTGCCGTTTTTACACCTTGCTGCATTTTGTAGTCTGAAGCATCCTCGCTGTATGATGTTAGGAAACTGCTTTGCTCTTGAAACAGATGATTGTAGTCCACCGAAAAGAGAAAAAGAAAAAAAAAAAAGATGCCTCGTTTGTTGGTGTACAGATATTGTTGACTTTGAATATAAAAGGGGTTCCGATGTGAGTGTAACCAAGTTGATTTTTGGACACACTATAAGGAGCGTGGTCTGATTGCACGAGTGACTGGAGGATTGATGGTGTTGCTGGAAGGGAAAAAAAAATGCAGAACAGGGGAGGAGTTTGCCATGTCCTCATCCTTTTTTTCCTCTTTTTTTTTTAAATTCATTTTTTTTTTTTTTGCAGAAACAATGATTGGAGAGAGCAAAACACAGGCAGGTTCACGAACATCGTGTCTGGCTGTGGGTTTTTGTTTTTTTTTCCTTTAACCCACAGGGCTGATTTTTCCCAGAGCTGTCACTGCTGTTCAGTTTCACTTCACTGAATTACAACAAGCACTGTCACTACAGGGGAATTTAGGAATTTACACCTGCCCAGTAGGTTTTTAAAGGGCGGCACTCTTTCACAGATTTGAGTTTTAGCTGCTTTATATCACAGTATTTTTATCTTTTTGGTTCCTTTATTTAATAGGCTTTGTTTTTTTTGACTGTACGATGTGTTGCGACTATTCGCTGTCTGCAGTACAAATAGTTTAAGCTACTGTGTGTTTGTAACAGAGGGGTGGAGCATTTGTGTGTGTGGGTGTGTGCATTGTCCTTTCCGCCTGCTCCTCTGTTTCACACACATCCACATACAGCAATATCACACAGCCTCCTTTATGTATTTATGTTGGTATTTTGTAAACAATAAAAGGAGGGAAAAAAGGTTCCTGTATTTTGTTTTGTTTTCCTGACCATTAAACCCTAAATTGACTTCATTACTGCTACATATGTGAAAGGACAGCATTAAAAGGTGATGCTGTAGTTTAAACAATAGAATGCCATATAATGACGTCTGTGCTTACATGTCCAACAGCTGATCACCGATTTGTATAAAAGATGCACATAAAATATGTGATTGCCCGACTGACTAATCACCTTGTCTGTTGCTTGTTTTAATGCTGAAGGGCAACCCTCTTCTGAGTTCTTTACACTGAAAATCAATTAGATTGAACCAGAGCAGACAGGATCATAGCAATAACAGCAAAAATGCCAAATGTTAGGCAGCTTAGAGAATTCTACTTTTAAATACCACAAATAGGAACCACAAATAAGCCTAAAGCCTTAGAGTAAAGTGCCCTAATATAGTGATACAATATTACGAGATAAGATGGGGCCTGATTATTTAAGACCTTGTATGTGAGGAGAGGCATTTTATATTTGATTTTGGATTTAACGGGGAGTCAATGAAGAAGTATGCCCTCTCTTTCTAGTCCCTGTCAGTACTCTTGCTGCAGCATTTTGGATCAACTGAAGGCCTTTCAGGGAGTTTTTAGGACATCCTGATAATAACTGCATAAAAGTAATTCAGCCTAGAAGTAATAACTGCATAAACTAGCTTTTTAGCATCACTCTGAGACGGGATGTTTCCAATTTTTACAGATATTCCACAAATGGAAGAAAGCAGTCCTGCATATTTGTATAATATGTGCCTTGAAGGACATATTCTGGTCAAAACTGGCTCCCAATGTTCCTCAGTGTTACTGAAGTAGTGAAGAGTTAGGATCTGGTTAGACAGCATGCTATTCAGCTTAGGTAAATCCTTCAAATAACTAGAAAAACAAGATTTTGTACTTCCTGATAAAACAAGGAACAGACAATACTAAATACTGCCAAAAAAAAAAAAAAACCCAAACAAACAAAAACCAGCCAGTGCAGATATTCAGAGGACAATGGAAAAAGATGTGAAAGTGACTCATACCTTTGACTGCATATAAATGCCGATGCATGTCTTTGACAGTCGCTTAGCCAATTACCGTGGAGCGTGTCCACTGTGTCATCGTCATGTTTCGAAAAGCTAAAATGACGGCAACAAAAACTTTCAGCTTGAGGCTCCGCCTTTTGTTTGTTTTTTTGTTTGTTTTTTTTACACATTGTATTGTACATAAACATTCACCTTCAACCTTTTAAGGATTCTCGGAGCAGCCGGTCCCATAATAAATAAGCCACACAGGCACTGTGATAAAAGGGAGAATCCAAAATTATTTAATTTTAAGCCATAAAAAAATCTTACCAACAAAGACCTGGGTAATTAAGTCCAAATTTTCAAAACACACAAATATTTTAAAAGCATATTTAAACAAAGATTTTGGAACATGCATGCATCAAGTTACCAACATCCTTAAAGAGTAAGTAAAACCTACAAAAGTGGAACTTTTTCTGTCTACAAACCATCTCTGTTCTTTGGTATAATCTATATAAAACAATGACAGGATAAACTAGCAATATAAAGAAATTTCCCTCATCTATGTAACTAATGGAATAAAACACAGAACAATTTATTTTACATTATGAAAGCGAATTGCCGATACCTCAAACAAACGCGTACATACTTAATGTTCGGATTTCTTATTTTAAATAAACACCCCACACATCCCTGTGCTGTGCCCTCCAGGGGTACAAAGAGAGTTTCATCTGAAGGACCAGCTGTCCTTGTGTCTGTGCAGCTCTGGGTCCAGCTCAGCAGCTTCCCACCCGCCCAACCCCACCGGGTCAAAGACCCGAACACAGAAGCACTTCCTATTGCTTTCTTAAAATTCCAACATGCTCGACATACTTAGACCTGTACAAACAATGTACAAAAGAACAACTCCCGCTTACACCACAATTATGAAAAGAGAAAATTGGCACTTTGAATGTTCGTCCTGATGTAAACCACATGATATTTTCTGATTGTCGTTGCTGCATTTGTGCACAGAGGGTCATTTCGCCCTCTGGCATGCTCAGAGGTAGAAAGGCTGCAGATTGCCAAGAAGTGAATAAAAATGGCTGACAGGTCCCCAATGCATGCCACTGCATAAAAGCCCAACTAACATGGAATTTGAGTGATGGTGATGTTATCTGCAACCAGAGTCTGTGCAGTACCCATCAGGGGTGGAGACATGGTATTGAGGTCTAAGCACAGTGCTCTTAAACATCAAGCAACCAGAAGAAAGAAGATGCTTTCCAGGCAGTCCAGAATTCACAGCAGCCTACAGACCCAAAAATGTTACATATGAGGGGTAAACATGTTTCCACCATGTTTTTCATAAAACAGTTTGAAACCTTAGATATCGTTCCATTTTCTGTTTTGTATATATGGGTTTAATTATTAGTAAAATCCCTTTCTCCCCCATTAGGAAGGTCTCGGCACTTTGAGACACTTTTTGGCGTTCATCATTTTGATTTAAGGCAAGCCAGCAGTGGAGAAGAAGTTATTTAGCAACACTTTCTTTTAGGAGAGTCCTCAGTCAACCAATCAGCATGCATTAGCAGAGTGCTAGCATTTTATGGGTAAAAACAACAGCGTTGTAAAAAACAAACAAACAAAAAACTAGAGGACATAACTGGCAGTTTACTTCAATCAGGCATATTATTAATGCTGCATTTGTGAAAACTAAAATAAAGCATGTTCTTCTTTGTATAGAAGCAGGTGAAAATAATTATTTTACCTATTTAGCTCCCCTGGGTTTGCAGGAAGTGAAGCTGTTCCCTCTAGATCTGCTCTGACGTAGCCCAGCAACCACCACCTCCATTGTGCAACTTTACTGCAGCAGAATCTGAACTGCCCGTCTTCTACACTGGTTGGGTCGTTTGCTTACCATTCGAATCACCCATTTAACACAAACTTAACTTCCTGAAAAAAATGCCAAAGTCCCTCAAGATGTGTTAGAAGATTCGTGCAGAAAGTTCCTGTGTACACTTCCTGAACAGTGGCCAACAGGTGGCTCAGAAACTAATTAAAAAATCAAAACAAACTGAGCAAATGGAAAAATGAACACTCAAACATCACCGTGATACAATACGCTTCAAAGAAACTATTTTGGTAGTCTTGGATGAAGTGCTGTGTGATAATGTTTAGCCAGCAGTGCTGAGAAAAAGGCATGCACTCAATACCACATGTTCATCCCCTGGTTGTTACTTTGGTTGCACATTACATCAACCATCAGATTTTCCATCTTTACATACAGACTCGGGCTGAAGATGCACAACAGACACCAGTTTTCCTCTTAGATCTCCAGTTGCTGAAGGTGGTTTCCAGTTCATGCAGTCTGTGTGACAGTTAGAATTCATTCATTCAACTGTTAGCACATTTAAATACGGTGTTCCTGTTCAAATGTGGCCGACAGCTCTGTGCACACCTGTATAAAGGCTGGTGCACGAGATGTAAAGCACCAAACCAGACATTTGACTCCTGCTTGTTGATAACCAGAAGCAAAGCAAATGAATAAACCTCTGAATATGTAACTGGTAGATTGAGGCTGTTTTGAAATCAAACAGAGCTTAAATCCAGGTGAATATGTGAATACTGTGACTCAGGATTTGGTCAGGATTAACTTTGGAACTTTCGACCACCTGAACATACAGTGCCAGTTTTAGAAATAGTAGATTAAAGTGGAATCTTTGTGTGGACATGCCAACCATGAGAAGCAACGAGCCAACACTCAAACGATTAGCTGTGGTACTGTGAGATGTTGTGCACCAGTAGATCCTGTGAAAGGAGGGATAGCACTGGTACTTGATTAGAGCAAGAGGCTGCGTATTCTGGAAGACCACATCTGGAGTGCTGTGGTTGTCATGGTGAATGCCCCATCATTTGACTGGGAAGCTTCTTTTCAGATCATGTGACTGATTGTCGGTCTGTAGTGTTTTCTCTGAGGAAGACTTTGAGCTACATCTCTGAGATCAAGCATGGTAGAGTTTATAAATGTCCACTTTTACTTGTGCCTAAAATCTTCTTTCTCCTCCTCTAATCTCTTTGCAAGCTTTGGCTTAAAAAAGAAAGAAAAGAAAAGAAAGAAAGAACGAATACCAATGATTCAACTCAGCAGTCTTTGAACAGACTAACAGTGAACCCTCTGCACTAAAGGAGCAGGCTGTTTGTCTCCTGTCCCTTTTGGGTTTTTTTTGTTGGCTTCAGCAGGACCACGAGGTACAGTTTAGTCTGGAGTTCAAATCCAAAGCCGCCTCTGCTGCTTAGTCTCCTGAGTCCTTGCTGTCAGAGTGAGGTGTGTACTTCAAGCGAAATGTCCCTGAGAAACACAGCAGAGTTGTTAAAGTGATGCCTTGGAGATGTCCCAATCTATGGCATCCCAAAGGGTTCAAAATTATATAACGGACACATGACATTATGAAGGAAGTGGGTAAAATATGTAAATGAAGTCACAAATATGTTTTTAGACTTAAAATTTTAAGTAATGAATGAGAAATTTATTCAAAACAGATTTTAATTTTTAGTAACATCAAAATCTGTTTTGAAATATTAAATTATACTGAAATAAAGAACTCCATCTCACTAAACAGGTCAAGTTTTACTTTTGTATATTACACATCATCATTTCAGTTAATCCAATTACACATTCAAATTAAAGTTCGTAATACCTATAATTCATTTTACAAATTCACCATTTTAATTCCTGCATAATTGTTATACTTTTGTGCATTTGGGCACAGTTTGCAAACTAAATCGTGTGAAGAAAACGACTGAAAACTGAAGTAAAATTTGTTAGAAACAAACATTTTATATTTAAATACAAAATGAAGTAGAAATATCAGTTATTATATTCTCAAATGTACTGTCCTTAAAGCCAATTGCATTTATAAATGTATATCACACCTTAAATATGGTATTTTTCACACTCCGTACTCACTGACTCACCTTGCTGTGTCGCATCCATGGGTGGCTGTT